CACCAAAAGTTTAATGGTATGTTGGAAACTGTTTCAATTCCAACTTAGTAGATTAACAACACGAGGTTCAAGCAAACGTTATCCGAGGGGGGGAAAGGAGGAGGAAACACACTTTTCTGCATCCGAGAGGAGTCGAAGTACGATGGAACGGTCTTTTGCTGCCCCCATAGGCCCTCGTGCGCAGAAAACGTCGGCGACTCCAATTCACTGCGGTCGAGCTGTCGTCGTAAGAAGTCCTGCACGTATTTCACAAAGTTTACGAACTCCTCTAACAACAGTGTAATGACAGCATCGGGGGTCTCGCCGACCTTACAATGCAGTGTCAGGAGCTGCCACAGAGAGAGTCGGCTTCCCAACCGTGGCACGGCCAACCGGGTCAGTTGTTCCCCGTTCGCTTTATCCAGGGCCTGAGATGGGAGGACAACGGGTAGGAAATTATGTGTTAAAAGTAAACTGCCTGACAGAAATTAGACGTAGATAAACTGCTGACAGATATGTGTGTCATGCACCCTCAAAGGGCATAGGGAAGAGGCTAGAGTATGACACAGGGGCGTTTATAGGGATGCGTACCAAAAACAAATTCGGCACATGGGGGTGTGGTGTCAAGCCTAGGTGCAGGTTCCCGCTGCATTTGCAGCACAGACAGTTGTGCTGATCAGACATCACTTATGACCGCACTGTCTTACACATTCAATGGTCAAATAGCTTTGTGCAAAAAGAAAAAAAACACCCCTCGCTTTGGCATGAATTGTACTGTGAAGTTCACCAATGTCGGTAGCAAAGGACGACCCAACGTGTGCCGCCAACATCATGTCAACCGCCGCGTCCAATCTCAGAAACCGTCAATCCCAATGTCTATACAGGCATAGGCGATAAAATGAGCGAGCGAGGCCGATATTGGGGTGTGTCCTCTACAATGGATCCCTCTGGGTGTGGCTTTGTGACAGTTCTCATCTCTGTAAAATTGGAGAGCTCCCCCCCATGGTTGGCCCAATTTTGTAACGGGCTTTATGAGGTAGAGGCGTCGCGCCAACAGGGACCTAGAGTAGGACATGGCAGGCGTT